GACAAATGTGACAATTACCCTTGTTTGGTTGGTGATCTCCATTTTGACGGTTGTATAGAATGTTGTACAATGAGCAAATGCACAGCATCCTTACAGAAAGTTCGCCTGGGCGACAGAGGCTGGTAGCGCCTGAAAAACTTCTGCTGGAGGCAACCTTGAGCAAGGCAACTTCACCCAGGGGTCAGTGACGAAAGCTACCGGGAGCTTGGCATGAAAACACCGAGTATGCTCGCAAACTCATCTGTATTAAGTAAGGGATATTGTGTCCAAGACAAGGCTTTCCATTGTCTTGGTATAGAATGAACGGGGCACATTGAAGGGGGATCAATATCACATATGAATAGACCACTATATAATCCGCCGACCCCGGCCTTCGCCAAGGCAGGGCGGCGCCTGGGACCACCGTAGGTGTGGAACTTTTGCAAGGCTCCGTGGCAGCTTCGACCACGCAGTCAGGCCACAGCCCTCTGTTGCAGCTTCGACCAGGCACTCAGGCCACAGCCCTCTGTTGTTAAGGGCGTTCAAGCCTGCCGTTTGCCAAGCTTCAAACCCCTACACCCGTGCGTGGCAACTTCGACCAGGCACCCCCGTTATTTACCCATGATTTCCTAAGGTGTTCCCAGTATTGGACCTATCCCTCAAACTTTGCCGTCTGCACAGGGTCCATGGTTGCGCTCGCAGGGTGTCGCTGGCGCTGCGGCGTTCGACTCAGGTCTATCGCAAAAGAGCGGTTCGCTTACCGTTTGAACATGTTTGAGCAGGATGCGGCAGGCAGGGTTACATAGGATGGAGTAGCACCATGCCATGTGGCCAGGGTTCCAAGCCTTGGTGGCTTGTTGAGCCTCTGCTAAAAGTCTAACCTCACCAACCCCCCTTTTTGAAGGGTCGGCGGCACCCGGGCGATAGCCCATTCTATATATCACGCGCTTGAACATAGTGAGGAAACTCCCACTCAGTAGCGCGGCGGTCACTAAACACCGAAGAAGATCCAAGGGTCCACCTTCAGCATCGGAGTGGGCCTTTCAAGGCTTAGAAGTTGCAAGAAAAGAAGATTTTGGAAGCGCGGCTAGGTAGGATGCCATGAGGACAAAATGCAGAAGCACGCCAGTGCAATTGCTCTGGAAGGATCTTTGCAAACTCATCTGTATGAAGGAATATTATTTCCAAGGCAAGCTTGCCATTGTGAGAACTGACTGGAAACATCAAACTACATCTGAAGGTTCAAAATGAACAAAAATGAAGCTACGTTTTAGGGCTCGCCATGAACATGCCGATAGTGAGTGACGCTGCACCAGTGACTTGAAGCATGATTAGTGATTATTGAATATTATTGACGACGCCAATGATGCTGAGGATGCGGATGCTCCCTATTTTGCTGCCGGAGGCGCCATGCCGACGGCGTCCCCGGGGGGTCCGTGGGGGTGGTAGTCAACTATGAAGTTTCATGCGAATGGAGATTCCAGCCCCCCCAATACCTTGCTAAAGCAAGAGGGACTTCAGCTAGCAGAAGCTAGCTTTCGTGACAATGGCAACAACATGCAACACCACTTCTTCTGATCTTTTTACCAACACTCCAGCGTGAAAACTGGGACAGGAGCATCATCTTAAACACAAAGAACTTGCATATCTGCTTTGTTAATATAATTTTTAAGCAATCATCATGCAATGAAAAGGGCGTAAACCTGGCAATCCCTATCAATGACATAGGATGCTCAGTGTCACAACGTTGGCATGCAACACACCAAAACATCAAACATCATCAAACTATAGCATGTGGCAGCCTGGTTCTGCTCCCCAATACTTCTCTGCATTCTCTTCACGAGCACCAGTTGTGCCCACCGGCCACAATCATCGCATGGCAAGCCAACGCTACCATCAAAAGGGATGCCCGCAATGACACAAGCTATCACAACGTAGTAGTATTACTTAGTGTTCTTAGTAATGCAAGATGTCCAGACTTCGGATCTGCCGTTGTGTGATGCGCATGGGGGTCATTTCGGCGTCAAGTTTACGGCTGTTTGGGCTATTCTGTGGCTGGTTCATCCACCAGATGCTTCCTTGCTGCACAGGGCTTAGAGCAATTTCTATCACAAATGTCGCAAATAGATACAGGATGATACAGGAAACTTCGAGTTTGATACTTTTTGTTATGCGAAATTCAGTGTGGTCGCATCGATTCTCTGCGGCCTGCAAAGGATTTGAGCGAACCACAATCAACATCAATCAACACTGCCAAACTCACCATCTTCTTTGGCAAGGAGAGCAGTGAACCATGGAAGCACTTTTTCCCGCCTTTTGTTTGCAAATCTTTGGCTGTCAAAGGCTGGACGTCTTAATATGTCTCAATCAAACACTTTTCACGGGTCCTTCAAAAAGTGAAAGCGAGCGAGTCACAAACACGCGATGCCTCGCCTTTTTGCGCCTTTTTCAGGCGCTCAAGAGCAAGGGCTCAAATGTATTCAAACGTCTTCGATAAGGACCTTTGATGACCTATGTCCTATAGTCACTGCTTTTCACTCTTGCAGGCAGCATTCAGGCAGCAAGGTAGCAACGTAGGTCAACCTACCATGCTCAATCCAGGAAGACAGAGCCAGCAGCAGCGGCAGCTTGAGTCGCTGGGGCTTTCTCGAAACCTACGGATGACCTAAGCTCTGCATGGACAATGTTTATATAGTTAAAATTTGTTCAGCGTTTCTGTGCAGAGTTGTAGCCCGTGTATCATAATATCACTCAGGCTGCCGCCCAGGCTTCAGTGTGAGCTCTGAAGAGAATCAGTGAACCAATTTGGGCCGAGGAGCGGATCAACATCACGGTCCAAATACCAGAAAGTACACGCAAAACGATCTGCACAGAGATGAAAAAATCCCCTGAGAAATCTTGCGAATCATGATATTGCTGAAGCACGGTGCTTGAGTCTGCATCTTCGAAGTGAACAAGCAAAAATGGTGCAACAATAATTGCCCAGAAAGCCTCCAACATCCAGTCAAAACAAAATGTAAGTGATCGCGACGCGACGTGTTTACTTTGTCCTTGCATCGGCGCTCATCTACAATATCTGATACAGAGTTCAAAGTGAGAGCAAAGCACCGGCACAGGTGCAACTCCCTAGACCCACCAAGCTCTGAAATTCTGAGTTTGACGGTGTTTGGGTCCTATACACTAACTTCGGGTACTTACGCAATGTGAATGCGGGCCTACGCCGTGTGGAAAGTAGCCTACGCGCGCGGAGGCACATATATCTAAAAGACGCCTACAGTATGCGAGCACCTACGAAAGGTTTTTGACCGCATGTGCAGAAGTCAGCCACTTGCAGCGCAGCCCACACAATCTTGGCTACGCCTAAAATCAGCAAGCGCTTACGCAAAGAGCCTACGCCGCCTACGCAGCCTACACCGCACTGCAAAACACACTTGATCAGCCTACGCAACATCCCACGCAACTCGTTTTTACCTACATTTCATCATCTAAAAAAAAAACAATGCCCAAATGGTTTTAATCACATTAAGAATCTATTGTGGAAACTCACTATGAACTAAACTATATCTCTGGAATTGTCTTTCAAAATTATCCAAAATTATCCAAAATTGTATTTAACCATATTCTATACCAGGCGACCACATCCAACAAATCGAGCAAAAACGGTCTAGCGGGTCTACCGATGTCCACCTTCGCTCAGCGCGCCTTTGCGTGGAGGCAGAACCTCATGTGGCACCTGATCGGCCCAAAAGGCCAAGAGACGATTTCCCAAAGGCAGCAGCTCTCCGCGAACTTGGAGAGGTGGATCAACCTCGGTGTTCCAAAAGAAGAGATTCAAATAAAGGATAAATCTAAAACAACTTACCAACTAATTAGATGTAAATATGATATCAACAATATATATATATATATGTTATCCTCCATCTCGACGCTGCCCACAAGAAGCAATGGCGCTTTTTCCACAGCGCCAGAAGGTTTCGTGAGGTTGCAGGCATCAGAAGCATCGGCTGGCTCAAAATTTCATCATCCAAACCAGAAAGGCGTGGAGCCCAAAATGAAATGTAGCCAAACGGATGGCTGCCAGCTCCAAACCTCTTCCAAGTGCAGCTAGCTGGGGAGGAGGGTTAGGGCCGAGAGATTTCTGCAGCCGTGAGGGATGAAAACATGTGGCACCATGTTATCCTCCATCTCGACGCTGCCCACAAGAAGCAATGGCGCTTTTTCCACAGCGCCAGAAGGTTTCGTGAGGTTGCAGGCATCAGAAGCATCGGCTGGCTCAAAATTTCATCATCCAAACCAGAAAGGCGTGGAGCCCAAAATGAAATGTAGCCAAACGGATGGCTGCCAGCTCCAAACCTCTTCCAAGTGCAGCTAGCTGGGGAGGAGGGTTAGGGCCGAGAGATTTCTGCAGCCGTGAGGGATGAAAACATGTGGCACCATGTTATCCTCCATCTCGACGCTGCCCACAAGAAGCAATGGCGCTTTTTCCACAGCGCCAGAAGGTTTCGTGAGGTTGCAGGCATCAGAAGCATCGGCTGGCTCAAAATTTCATCATCCAAACCAGAAAGGCGTGGAGCCCAAAATGAAATGTAGCCAAACGGATGGCTGCCAGCTCCAAACCTCTTCCACCTTCAAGAGAGGCGACTTGGGTAAAAGGACGTGAGCCCAAGCAGGCACACAAGGCAAAGCGTTGTCTTCACCCCAAACAGTGGTCCAAGTGCCAGTAGATGGAAGCAGCGCACCGGATGGAGTGCTTAGACTCTGCATCCAAGTCAGTCAAAAGGGAAATCGCAGAGACTTCCTGCAAATAGCTTTCAAGAGTGGAGATGTTCTTCAGCCGCATGGCCCACAGGAGGTCAGTTATGTTGCCTCCTCGTCTATACCAAGAAACAGCACCACCGCCACGAAGACCACCAGGTGTCACAAGGAGATCTCGCGGCACTTTCAGAAGCTTAAGCAGGTAGTCCCATCGCAACCTGTACACATGCGGGGAGCCGTGAAAAAGCTGCTCATCTCGACCAGCATCACGAAAAAACTAAAGTGAGCAAGTGCACCACGAACACAGAAGAAATCTTCAAGTGCTGCACCCGTGCATTTTGTCTGTACATTGTTTTGGTTTGCCTTAACAGCAAGAAAGCAGAATCGCTCTCAAACATCATATCTATGGGCAGGAGCAAATCGCTCCGTTTGCACTTCAGAACTTCACCAACTCGAGCAACTCCATGGAAACAGAGCAGCGTCACCGAGCTCCATCTAAGCCACCCTAACTGCCAACTCAAAGCAACCAAAGCTTGCATCACAATTTCAGGAACAGGAGGCCTGTGCTGAGTCGGTTCAACCTTCTCCCAGCGCGAAGCAAGGTCCCAGCAAATGGAGGCATACGGCTTCAGGGTTGGCACCTTTCGCTGAGCAGTCAAAACCAAGTGCCTAAAATACATCAAGGAGCCTCCACCACTAAAATCAACGTCGCCATAGCGCCTAATAGCATGAGCCAAGAAGAGAGGGACCATGAGGAAGAGCTGCAAGATGTCGCCTGAAATAGTTTGCGAACACCAATCCAAAAAGAGCTGCCATCTTCTTTCTCCAATCCGCAGGGATGTCCAAGTTTGGACCGGTGCCTCCTCCAAAGAAAAGCCGCGAGCAGCTCTCAAACCTCGTGGCCCAGGGTTCTTGGCCTCTCCAATCCTCAAGCTGCCGGCGCGTGCACAGGCGCCTATGTTCAGGCGGCGGCTCCAATTGCAAGCAGACACAATTGCACTGCCCAACAGCTTAGAGAAACCTCGTGGATAGGGCTGAGCAACTGCAGTCCAGGGCTTCTTCAAGGTGGGATGCTGTCCACGAAGCTGAACGTGTCCTTGCGTGCAAACACAAAGCATGCGCAAACCACGAAGCCCTTCTATGTTAGTTGCGACCCTTGTTCTTTTCCTCCACGCAGTGCCAAACCTGCAGAAGTCAACTCTGCAAAGCTCATGAGACGCAGGTGAGGCAAATCGCCTCTTGAGTCTAGGTTGTCTCCAAAGGTAGCTGCTGTCAGGGTTCTCAAACCAAAACAAGGTAGGAGGCTCATTAGCCTCACAAGCTGCCAAAACTTCAACCTGGAAATCGCCCATCTTGTTGCCCTCCGACACTTTGATCTTCATAGCCGGCGACATCCATGGCACTCCGCGAGGAAACTGGGGCGACCGCACGGCCGGAGTCACAGCCATGGAGAAAGACCTACAAACCAAAGCAGATCCCACCACTTTAACCGCCTTCAGCTGAATGAGCCTGAGGATCTTCTGTTGGTTCCCTGCTTCTAACACATCTTCGCTAGCTGATCTCTGAATCTCAAAACAGACCACCCAGGGCGCACCGTGCTTTACCAAAAAACGTGCGACACCGCCAACCCCGGAGTAGAGGTCCAAGGCACCAGGGTGCCTAAAGGTTTTGTCTCCAGAGGCAAAAAGAACCTGCTTGTCGCCGAAGGACTTCAGAATCTCTATAGCTTCAGCGGAAAGAGTGCAGCCTTGGTCTACCACATGCAAAGAGCCCTGCACGTCCGGCTCAGCAGCCTTTTTTCCACGGCGGAAACCAACGAATTTCTCCCAAGCCTCTCGGCGACCAGTCTTCAGCTCAACAGGATCACCAAGACGCCGGAGTGGCGGCGCGGCCGCAGCACAGGAGACTTGCTCTTGCACTTGCTCCAACCAGGCGTCAAAAAGTTCGTAGTTCCCTTCGGACACTTCATCCCACCACCAAGGTAGCGGCTCATCTGGTTCTGCAGGTAGAGCATGCCGCGTTGGTCCATCGGCCCGATTGAGTTTCGAGGGCCAGTAACCATAGGCTCCATACATGTCGCTACCGATCACATTGGGGATGGACTTCACCAGCTCAGCATTGATAGCCTTCGAAGAGGCCCTTCCTTTCACCAAAGACCCCAGGGCGACTTGCGAGTCCAAGGCATAGGCAACCCGCACAGAGATGTGCTTGGCAGCCAGTCTGCTCTCTTCCAAAAGCAGGGCTCTGACTTCCCCAATGTTGACATGAACCGCTCGGGGATGTTGCTTTCGCCACTCTTCTGAATAAGGCAGGGATCTAGCAAGTTGCTCCCAAAAAGGGTGAACGTCAAACACGTCATCTTCACCAGGTAGTTCTTCTTCAGGAGGAAGCATCATCTTCACACGTAACCATGCCTTCCCTGGTGGCAGCAGACGCGTCCACATGGACTTGCTGAGCCCCAGACGCTGAGCTTGCCTGGCCACATTTTTAGGGAGCGTGGTCGAAACCGCAGCCATTCCCCAGTCAGAGGCATCAGTAGCACGTAGCGTGCTCAGGGTGGCAGCTCGAAAATTCACCACGGCCAAGGTGCACAAAGTCAAGACAGTAAAGAGCTCGTCCTTCAGCGCACCAGACAACCTGATGATTTGAGCATCATCCCTCGAAGCTGTGATCGCATCGAAGATTAAATTCATAGCTGAAAGCATCCTCCTCCGCAGAGAAAGCACTGAGATAAAAGACCCTGCCAGCGACCTCAAAAGGCCTACACTGCACAAGCCCAGGCTAACGACCCTGCAGCCAATCAGCAGGAGCGGCCACACACGGCTCTCATTGCTCCGCATCAAGCCCTTTGAGCCATCAATTTGGATCCCCCAGAAGGAGCTCAAAACTGCATTGTCAAAAGCTTTCTTGGGGTTAGTCGGTAGGCCAACCTCGTCGTACTTCGCCATGATAACCTTCATGCGCTTGTCCAACTCAGAGCCTTCAGCTCGCACTCGTTCTATGTCCGCGGTCAGGACCTTCTCAAAGCAGACCAAGTCATCAATGATGACACCAACCGATAATAGCCCTCGTGGAAAGGGCTGATGCATCATGATGACCTCTTCAGGCTTGGCTCCTTCGCACTCCAGAACTAATTGAAGGTGAGATCCCTGAGCAAACTCGCAGGCGTTACAATCCCCCATGGCCATGGTGTTCAGTGCCACATAGCCCGGCTCAGCAAAAGGACGCCCAAAAATGAACTCCAAGTCGTTGCAGCTGAGCAGGCCGGAAAGCACATTGCGCCGAGCTCGCTGGGCTCCTACTTTAAATTGATAGAAAAAGTCCCGAATGTCTCTACCTGACATGAAAAGGCTCTGATCAGCTTCAAGTTCAATACCAGTAAGAGCTGTTGCCGAGCTCATGGTGCTTGTCCATGTGCTGAGAACATATTCAAGGGTGTTGGGAGGCCGTGCATCAAGTATGAGCCTATCTTTTTCCAGGTCTTTTGGCACACTGAACAACCCGCTAAAAATGCCCTTTCGAACCACGTCTGCAGGGACATGTACAAGTCGATTGCCAGCGACCATTTTCTTAAACAACTTGTTCCGCTCCAAGGCGGTAGCATGCACGCTAACTTTAGGAGGGCTCACGCCCGGTTCTTCACGAACACAATCAAGAGGACGAGAATAGGCTTTTGCAGTGACATCATCAAAAAAAGGGAGGGGATCAAATTGAGGACTTCCGACAAATTGAATCCGATCTGCTTGAATAGGCTTGGCGATAACAAAACCATCACCAGAAAGAGACCCTTCAAAAGCACCAAACAGTCCTGCTAAGCCGCTCCACTCCTCATCTTCATTTTCTCGCCGCACATGAGATGCAGAGCTAGTCACCCCACCATAGGGCGCAGCACCACCAAAAGTCGTGCCAAGCAAAGCCCTGTGCAGAGCATCCAACTGATCGGACGCAGCCTCAGCTTTGGTGGCCGCACGAGCCATGAGCTCAGCATCGACTTCAAAAACTGAATTCCCATCTTCGCTAAGGTTCTCCAAGTTCTTCACACGACACCATTGCCTCCTAGACAAAGGCTGCCCCAGCCACAAATTGCCTGGACAAACTGCAGGTCGCCCCAAATAGAGCCAGTTGAGCACTACAACCTGCAAAGCCACTCGCCTTTTTCTCCAAGACGACCTGAAAGCAGGACCATGCCCAAAAACTTCAGGGTAGGGCACAGGCAGTGGCCAGAGAGGACCCAGCGAAGAAGCTCCTGCACGGAGCTGCGGCTCATTGCTGAGGAAAGAGTGCAAAAACCCGCTAAGCTTGTCGGTATACTTCAGCAACAAACGTAGCATCGAATTGAGCAAACCAGGAACTTTGACTGTAGGAGCCCTGCTGCCAGGGATGACGACCTTCTTCGTGTCGCCTTCAACCAGACCATCAGGGCACACAGCCGGCGGCTCGCCCTCATACTTCATGCATCTTGGGGCTCTTGCCCCTTTCCCTTCGCTTTCGCTTTCGGCTTGGGTTTGGAGGGCTCGGCGTGACTCTCGTCGGCCCCCAGCTTTTTGCCCAGGCTGCGCCTTTTCTGCACATAGTCCTCGGCATCCTTGAGGTGGCTCAACATGACCTCCGACCATCTCGGATCCAAGAGGCGAGAAAAGGGGCTTTCGCCCTCGCCCACATTCGGCAGGCTGTGCATCGCCAGCGAGGCCAAAGGGGGGCCTTGCTCTAGGGCCAACTCGGCCGCCAGACTCCATGACCCTCGGTCTATAGCTACTTGGTCGAGCTGCAGTAGCAGAAGTCCTGCTTGAGCTCGTGCTTGAGCCACTCGCCCCTTCACCAAGTTGTCGAGAATGCCAGCAGCCGACCAAGCGACATGTGCTGAGGTCTTGTACGAAGAAGAGATTCTGCTCCGATGCTCGACCCAAGCCCTGGCATTGAAGCTGATTCCTGGCATCCCATGAGCTTGAGTCTGCGACGTCAGGTCTTCGAGGAGCAGCTTCTCCACCACCCCGGAAATTTCCTCCGGCGTTTCTTGAAGAGCTTGTCGAAGGGCTCGCCTGGCTGCAGCGGCCCTCTTCAATTGACCTCCGCCGGCAGCCTCTGAGATCGTAGTGGATCCAACGTTGTCCAAAGCTTGGTCGATCTTGGACCCTTTCGCCTTTTTCACACGATCCGCTGCCAACAATGAGACCAATTCTGTAAGCTTGCTCACAGCAGCCTCGACTGAGGGCGGTGAAGATGCGTCGACTGAACCACCAGCGACGTCGTCCTCCTCTGCTTCGTCCTCGCTCTCCGACAAGACATCTTTTTCTGCTCTTCTCGCAGGGCTCCTCAGAGCCGGCTCTCGTAGTCTGCGGCTCCCCACCTGGCCAGCCGCAATCAGCCGTTGCATCTCTTCCAGGTTCGACTCGCTCACACCAGCTCCCAAGGCAGCTGAAACCACCGAAGGATCTAGTTGCGGAAATCGCCCCACAACTGCGGGCTTGGGCTTTCTCTTCACCTCGGGCTCCACAACCTTCGGAATTGGGTCGAAGGTCACTCTCCCTTCTCCCAGGCGTGGAGCTCTTCCACGCTGTTGTAGTGCCATCAGAAGCTCCTCCATGTTGTTGGAAATCTTGCCGATGTTGTCCTCCAAATTGGCGACCCGCACGTCCAGCGGCTGCAATGAAGGCTCTGCTACACCAGCACCTCCTAGACCTCCGGGGGCTCCGCTCTCTGCACTCAGGAAAGCAAAGTGGTCTTGAAGCGCATCCACCAAGGACTGAGCAAAGGGCAAGTAATCCCGCTCGCCGTCGATGACGAAGGGATAGTCCACCGTCGCCCCCTCTTCCATCTCCACAATCAAGCCGTAGTTCTCGGCAGTGACATAGCCGACCCAAATCTTCATCAGCACGTCCTCCGCAATCTCGGCACGTTGAACCAACGTGCAGCAGGCCACTTCCATCAAGGTCGGCTTGCTCAGGAACTGAGGCGGCAGCACTCTCTTTGTAGGCTGCCGATGCCATACTAGGTGAGGAAAGGCTACCAAGAAGCGATTCCCCACCTCTGATACCAAAATGCACTGAATTGCCACTCCTAAGGAGGTGGTCAGAAGCTGAGGGGCATAATCCGTTGCAATCACCCCCTCCCCATCCACCACGAAGCGAGGTGCCGTCAAGGGGACCCCGCTCTCTTCCATGCCATCCATGAGATCCATCAATTGCGGCCCGTGGGCCAGGTGAATCCTGCTGCAGCTGTGACTCGACAGGCCTCTCGATCAGAGGGAAGCCCCACAAAAACTGAATCTCCGCAGTCTTGGCCTCGCTTGACAAGGTCTCGGCACTCGCTGAAGGTGCGGCAGACCCGAACCGGCCGGTACTCCAGGCCTTCGTAGTCTTTGAACACCAACCACACCCGGCTGCCAAGCTGGATGCGGTCACGGCCACTAGGACCACGATGATCACCAAGGAGAGCTCGCTGAATGTAGAGCCCAATCTCGTCGCAGATGCTCTCACGCTCCAGCCACGTCAACTGGCACCTGGTAGAAGTCGTAGACCCAGCAGCTGAAGTGGTAGATGG